CCCAAGACAACATACTCGTGAAATGGCCCTGAAATTGCATGTCTCTCATGAAACAATACTGTTGCGTATCTGCTCGTTTGTTAATTTCCGGTATAAATTCATTCCGAGGAACTTCAGCGATACAAGTCATTTCTTAATTAAATGATGACATGATGATGACATAACCTTGTCGAAACGTTGTACATTTGCTGTTATGTTAAACTTATATTAAAGTTTTTCTTCGTTACCCATTCAAGCCGTCTCCAGCCATTATTAGTCTCAAAGTGGGTTCCTCGTCATCGAATTTTAGCTCATAGCTCCGTCACCTCTCAACCGTATTGGGATCTAATTACAGTTTTGGACTCAGGAGGTCAAATTCTTTTATTGATATATTTGACCACGCTCAAGGTTTTATTGATTAATTTACTCTAATCCTGCCTAAAAGAATTTCAATTTGAAGGTAGGCTGGCAGAGATCCTGATGAGGAACAAAATCGAGTCGAGTATACGCGTTCCCCACGCTTGGTATTGCTGGCGCACAAAATTCTAACCTATATAAAAACCAGTGTGTGTCACGTCAGTCATGCTTGATTACTCGAAATAGGAGAAGTCATAAATGCCAAAATGCATGTATCCAGATAGAACAGTTCGATTACTGTGTGTAGTAAATTCGTTACATGTAATAATATTAGGAAAAAAAAACAATAGCAAAACAAAATTACTACACAAATTCTTTCACATCATCGAACCGTTTTACTTCTATTCTTTTACTTCATTTTCAACATTAAACGTGTCCGTGAAGTCGTTTTTCCCATATTATATTTATATAATTATAAATGTTTTTAGTTTGTTTACATTAAAACTCATAAATGGTTCTGACTGGTTATCCACGGTAGCTTCCGGCAGTATCATTAAACCAAATTTTCAAGAGATCATGTGTTAAACATAAAAATGAATTTGAAATTTAAGCAACTATATATATATGTCACTGTGTGCGCGAAAACTAATTTTCAACAATAAAAAGCTTTGATTTATATTTGATAAAGACGAACTTGATATAAAAAGGCTTTAATTCCCTGGATTGCAGGAGGAAAATTTAAAATAAAAACGTGAATATTTTTATGTTCATATTTTCAGAAGCAAATTGAGTATTTTTGATAAAAATTTTGTTTTCGGAAAGAAAAAATTTGAAAGAATTATATTTACTGCAACGTAAGTAATAGAAAATGATTATTTCGAACCCATGTATTTGCGTAGCGGGTAAGAAAGCGACAGAAATTCGAAACCATTAAAAATATCGCCTCTCATGTCACCGTTTTAAGACCACTCGAGCTTGCGGAGGTTACGCACGAGTTTCTGATGTGAGTTGCGCGAAGCGTCACTTTACTGTGCGTATTACAAAGTTAAAAATCATTCACTGGTAGTATAGCCCAGCAGCGGTTTACGCGAAGCTAGTTGCTAAGATTGCCCGGCATGAATCCGGTCAACGCTTCATCTAAGCTTCGAAAAATGCGCACCACCACGAGAAGGAACATTAACTGCACGTCGAAACAAGAACCAGAGGAAGAAGAAGATATTAAGGTGAGTGCAATCTTCTTCTTAAATTTGCGAGTTAAACTTAAGTAACGATATGGACATTTAGGGTTAATTGTAAGCAAAGATGCCCGGATGTAAAAGTTCATCACATTATTGTTTATGTTAAATAATACTGGTAGGCGATCAAGACAGTGCCTTTCTGGACAAATAATGACCTGATAATAAGATGACTATTAAGTCAGTGATCAAGATAGTGTCTTATCAGACAAATGATGATTTGAGAATAAGATTACTATTAAGTCAGTGGTCAGGATAGTGTTTTATTAGACAAATAATTATCTGGGACTAAGGCGACTATTAAATTAATGGTCAAACAGTGTCTTATTGGGCAAATAATAATTTCAGACTAAGGTGACTATTAAATCAATGGTCAGGATAGTGTCTTATTGGGCAAATAATAATTTGAGACTAAGGTGACTATTAAATCCATGGTCAGGATAGTGTCTTATCAGACAAATAATGATTTGAGAATAAGATGACTATTAAGTCAATGGTCAGGATAGTGCCTTATTGGACAAATAATGACTAGAGAATAAGATGACTATTAAATCAGTGGTCAGGATAGTGCCTTATCGGACAAATAATGACTTGAGAATAAGATGACTATTAAATCAGTGGTCAGGAAAGTGTTTTATTAGACAAAATTATCTGGAACTAAGACGACTAGTAAATCAGTGGTCAGGATAGTGCCTTATCGGACAAATAATGATTTGAGAATAAGATGACCATTAAATCAGTGGTCAGGATAGTACCTTATTGAACAAATATTGATTTGCAAATAAGATGACTATTAAATCAATGGTCAGGATAGTGCCTTATCAGACAAATAATGATTTGCGAAAAAGATGACTATTAAATCAATGGTCAGGATAGTGCCTTATCAGACAAATAATGATTTGCGAAAAAGATGACTATTAAACCAGTGATCAGGATAGTACCTTATTGGACAAATAATGATTTGCGAAAAAGATGACTATTAACTCAATGGTCAGGATAGTGCCTTATCGGACAAATAATGATCTGAGAATAAGATGACTATTAAATCAGTGGTAAGGATAGTGCCTTATTGGACAAATAATGATTTGCGAAAAAGATGACTATTAAATCAATGGTCAGGTCAGTGCCTTATCGGACAAATAATGATCTGAGAATAAGATGACTATTAAAATAATAAAACATACTAAAATATATTTTAACTAAATTTATTGGCTTTTTAAATAGAGAAACCAATGTAGTGATTAACAATATGTAGATTGTAATGTAATATTACAGCTTTACGCTGTGATGTGTCATCGGAGGTGTTCTACAAATTGTAATTTAGAAGAGATTTAGTAAACACCACATATTTCGGAATATGAGGAATCTAAGACCGAAAGATATTTGTGCAAAACGTTCTTACTACCTTAGTTCCCAGTACCACAGTCTTCAGGCTGCACTTTAATACTGGTGTTTGTGCAGACTGCAATTGGGCTAATAGTTTTGAATGCCAAACCAAGCCTCGGTCTTTATTTGCATGTTTTTGAGCTAATCACTCTCTATATAAAAATAGAATATGTATTTTAAAAATGTACGTGGATTTAACCATTGGAATTCCTAGCGCTCTGGAGCAGAATATTAACTCTCGCTAAGTACACAGGATTCGTTGTGTAAGTTGTGAAAGCTTAACTGACAACAGTTTACTGTTGAATTATTTTTAGAGAATTTATAACACACATTTTATTTCCTTTTCTTTGTTGTTACTGTACTCAAATTTGGCCACCCAGACACAAATAAAGTTTCAATAGTTTCTCTTAAAAATACTAAATTAGACATGGATAATAACAACGTGACCCCCCCCCCCATTAGTACTGAATCTCAAATTTACATTTTCGGTTAATAAGCAGTTGGAAGCCATAAAAAAATTCCTAATTACTTTATGATGCGCGTTCAAAATAAGCAATTTTTTCCCCTTTTACATATCATCCTCGAAAACTTTCTGAACTAATTAATACTGAAGATTATTATACAAAGATGTTTCATGCTCCGTAATAAGCGTAATAAGTTTGATATTTTATTCATTATATTGAGTAATTTACATTCGTTGAAGAACACAGTATCATGATACGTTTAATATATTTATAGGTTTATCTAAACTGACAAAACAAATAAATTATAACTAAAACTTATATTTGAGGTATGACAAGGCAAAAATCATTGTTACAAAGTAATGCTAATCATTCCCATAATTCATTATTTTGCACGTCAGACACTCAGTGATCCGTCATGTGATCTAAAACTTAAATGATCTTTCATTCATACTACGTTTTTATATAAGCATTTGGCAGAGGTCACTTTACTTTTTTTGACAATTTCTAGACATTTCATTTCAGTGTGAAGTTTTCTAACCAGTTAAGCTTGGCGTTGAATGCTTAAAATCTCTCCAGCTCAAGGGTATCTTTAGAGTCTGGAATCATAACGGGATTTAACGCTTTATCTAAGAGCACCCACAAGCGCTCGGTGGACTCATGAACGTGCAGGTCACTCTTTTCGGTTAATTTCCCCTTCTTCGATGAACGTGCTGACCGGCTTAGAACAGGAGTTTCCATTTATTAGGGTGAAGTCAGGGCCAATTGTACGAGCATATGTGGGACATTAATTTTTCCATTCCGAAGAAAGTAGAACTTATTCCTGTCCACACCATGCTTCCAAATCGTCACATGAATATGAGGCTAGATCGGGTTTCTGATTCTCTCCAATTGAGTATACGTGTTTTATTTGGCAACAAGATGAAGCCTAATTTCTCTGTAAAATGAATATTACTATATATGTCGTTGGTCCCCCGTTCCAAGACTGAATCACAAAACCACTGTATGTTGATTCTGGTTCACCGCAATCATGATATCTACACCAAGAGTAAATCATAACGACTACTATCAATTGATTCTGGCTCGCCGCAGTCATATGGTACCTGTTCCAAAACTGAATGATCGCAGTGAAACAGACTCCACTTTATATCACGCCTAATTTTTCACATTCTGCTCATAAAACGTGACATAACAGCTCTACTGTAATAGAGCTAAAACACGCACAGTCGGTACCTGTTCCAAGATTGAATCATAAAACCATTATATGCTGATTCTGGATAACCAGAGTCATATGGTATATGACTACGCGAGCCAGAATCAACTGAAAGTGGTCATTATGATTCAGTCTTGGAACAGGTACCATATGACTGCGGTGAGCCAGAATCAACATATAATGGTTTTATGATTCAATCTTGGAATAGGTACCATATGACTGTGGTGAGCCAGAATCAACATATAATGGTTTTATGACTCAGTCTTGGAGAAAATACCACAGGATTGAGGTAAGACAGAACCAATAAACAATGGCTGTCCGTCTCTTCTGGATGATGGTTGAAGTAACCAAACAACTATATCATTGGTTTGGAGACTTCTCTATTCATCTGATAGTTCTACACACATAAGTTGGATTATTTGAAACTGTTTTTCATTCACTTTTAAAGTGAAAAATGAGGCAAGACTGTATGAGACCGCTAGCTATTTAAATTTCTTATCACGTTAGTAAGCCCGGTATGGCCAGGTGGTTAGGGCGCTCGACTCGCAATCTGAGGGTCGCGAGTTCGAATCCCCATCCCACCAAACATGCTCGCTCTTTGGTAAATGAGTAGCCGAAGAGTTGACGGTGTGTGGTGATGACTAGCTGCCTTCTCTCTAGTCTTACACTGCTAAATTAGGGAAGGCTAGCGCGAAATTCAAACCAAACCAATCACGTGAGTTATCATCAGTTAGTTTATTCTTTACTTTGTCTTCGTGAGGTGTAGCATATTCCGTTACTTGTAGTCATTTTGATTCAAATTTGTCATTTCTTTTCTGAGTTGTTAGCAGAAAAACTGAAGCACAGTCCACAAAAGAGGTAAAATGTGTTCATTCGAAAGATTACGATCCGAAGGCGCTATTTATAGAATATCCATGAGAAATTTCTGTTCAAACTTTGCTTTAAAATAGCGGTTTATAACATCATTATCTCCATATATTTCAAAAATACAAAATAGTGTGTAAAATCTCCTTCATGTGGTTTGTTTATTTGTTTTGTTATGAATTTCGCGCAAAGCTACACGAGGGCTATCTGCGCTAGCCGTCCCTAATTTTGCAGTGTAAGACTAGAGGGAAGGCAGTTAGTCATCACCACCCACCGCCAACTCTTGGGCTACTCTTTTACCAACGAATAGTGGGATTGACCGTCACCTCATAACGCCCCCACGGCTGAAAGAGCGAGCATGTTTGTTGTGAAGGGGATTCGAACCCGCGACCCGAAGATTGCGACTCAAGCGCCCTAACCACCTGGTCATGCCGGGCCCCTTCATATGGAAGCTATTCACATGTCACAAAAACAACAGATTTAATTTTTTCTTATCCTTATATACACAGGAGATCTAGGTTTATTTTCAAGGGCAAAACCTCAAAAATAGCTTCTTAAGTTTTAAATTTCTTTGAATTCAAAAATGCATAGAAATCTGAAACGACAGAGGCTGTTGTCGATAACCAAAGATAAACTCACTATACACCACTTTATAATACCCATACGTCTGAAAGATTATTAAAAACATCAAACTGTTTACACTTATGGAACGAGATCTCCTGACTTGTTTAACGCGTGGTGGGAGACTGTTGCTTGTTCTTTAAGAGCAAGGTCTGTCAAACTTCGTAGACGTCGACTCAGCAGTCTATTAATATGTGGTGTAACACAGATGCATCAACAAGCCCACACCCAGAAAAGGCGGTCTCTTTATTCTTGCAAGTGCTGCTCTAAAAGATCATTTAATGTACTAAGCCCCTATTACACATAAAACAACATACATTCAATGAAGTTCAAACTGAGGGGAGACGCAGGATGCTCTTTGGATGTGCATGGCCCGACTACCGAATCTTCTTCTAGACTCGAAGATCCATTGCCTTTGTAAGTATATGCTTCAATTTACACGG